TTTATTTAACTTTATTTATTTACCTATTTTTTAAAAAATTGACCAGAGAAAGTGAGAAAGCAAGCCTCCAGGTCTGGGACTTGAACTGCGGTTGGCCATATGAGAGTCCAGCAGCTTTATCAACCATGCCACCTGCCAGCCCTCCCCCCAGATTATTCATTTCTAACCAAGTTATTTGGGCAGCCATTGGAACTGTTTTCCTCTTTTGGAGAGGTCTTTGCTATAGGGCACATGCACTCACCAGAAAGAGAGAGACATAGAGACAGAAAGTGAGAAATCACCCCCCAGGGGGGATGGCCATGCTGCAATCCCTTCCCCTCCATTCTCCTCTCAGGATCTTAGGCACACATGCACACACCCCTGGCATGAGTTTAAGCCACTGGATCCAGGACTCAAACCGTGGTCAATTACGTGGGAGTCCAGCGACATAGCTATTACACCAACTGCTGGTCCCCTCTCTCTGCTCTTGACGTTAGGAGTTTAGTGCTACTCTTTCATTAGTTCTAAGAGTTTTCATGGTCTTTCTGTAATTTCCTGTGTATATTCAGTGATTTTAGTGAGTTTGCTGGGTGATAAAAACCCTGATGGCATTGTTTCTAGAATACTCAGAAAACACAAAAGACTTCTAAAACATGGCTATCCAGCCCAGAGTCATCTATAGGAAGTTTTCCGAATATCTCCAAAGTTTCTTTCAAGTGGTCTGATAACTGAATTTATTAATCATACACATTGTACCCAAGATTTATTCCTGGGTGATCCTGCTAAACTATTGTTCCTGATTTGCAAAGTTTCGCATATTATCTGGCCCAACTTTGACTTCCCCAGGGGAACTCTGGGAGAGTCAAAAGCATTGCTTAGGATCAGGCTATTATTTCATGCCCAGTTTCCTCCTTCGGTAACTTACCTTGAGGGTGCTCATTTTCTAGAGCTGGGGCACTATCAGAAGTGACCTGGAGAGATAAGAGAAACAGACTGAGATGAATCTAGGCTCCACACATTTTAGCCTAGCAACAGCAGGGGAAGGACTAGACTAGTAAAGAATGGACTTCACTGAAAAGGTTACCAGGCCCTTCAGAAATACTATCTCATGTCATCTTAACAGACCTGAGGTAAATCTCATTAGCCTTATTTTCACAGATCAGAAAACTGAGGGTTAAGAGACATTAAGCAACCTAAGATCATAAGACTGTTATGGGATGGAGCAGGGATTTGAACACCTATCTGAATGGTTCCAAAGCTCATGTTCTTACATATCACTGTGCCTAATAAAACATTAGGGGCCAACAAAAAAAAAATAAAAACCTTATAACCTGAAAAAAAAAAAAGTGCCAAAATGGGACTAGACTGTGGCGCAGTGATAACACAATGTCTGTGATGGTAGAACCACTAGGGAATGTCCCAGGTTCTTGTCCCAAGGTCGCCTGGCTCACACTGGTTGTGCATGTGCTCGTGGCCCAGGTCAGTTGAAACCAGGGTAGATCACAGCATGAAGGCTATGTCAGGGGTGCCATCTCTCTCTTTCTCTGTCTCTCTCTCTCTGGCTCTTCGAGGAAATAAACTTAAAAAGTGACAAGGTATGTAACAGCATATTCCATATACTGAAAAATATTTTTCAGTTTAATTAAAATTTATTGGGTTGCAGATGAAGAGCAAGAAAAGTGATTTCAAAGACCCATATCCTGGCCTATTTTTTTTCCTCTCATTACTTTACAGATACTTTGATTATATTAATTTGTCTCTCAACCTGAAATAGACAGTTCTGACTATCTCTTCCTTCCAATATGTAGGTGGTTTCCCATTTTAGAATCTTCCTATTATGGATGGTAAATGACTTCAGGTCCAACATAAGTCATGTTTGCCCTCTAAGATTCTGATGGTATTACTTAATCCTTTAGGAATATGAAAAGTATTATGGACATTATCACTGAAAGGGTAAACACAGATGTGTGTTGTCAGGGAATTTTTGAGCATGCAGAGTGTGAGAACATCCTCAGTGGAATTCCAGGAACTTTAAATGCTGTGGGAAACTGGCTTCCATGGAGTCATACAACATTTGACATGCGACTGCCTTTCCATTGATCATTTCCTGAGAAGTCAATAGTGTGCATAAGGCTGGTTGGTTGCTGATTAGTGTTTTGGGGAGCAAAATGAAAACTGTAATGAAATTGTAACTGTAGATTAAAATTTATAGTCAAAGATAACAACGATACAATCTTGGCAGTCATTGATAATCTTCATGGATAAATGTGTAATATATTGATCTGTGACCCAGAGGAAGCTGTGATGAACAGGGGTCCCCAACCTTCAGGTCATTGACCAGTACCAGTCCTTATTATTACAATGCAAAAATACATGGTAAGTATAACGCAGTGCAAACATCACCAGACCATCCTCCCTGCCCTGGTCTGTGGAAAATTGTCTTCCATGAAACTGGTCCATGGTGCCAAAAAGGTTGGGGACCACTGCTGTAAAGGATCAGCTATGCTCAGGAAGCTAAGGCACCACCAAATTGGTAGGTGATTTTCTTTTACTGATGTTGGATGTATTTACATTTTTATTATCAGACTAGAAATCTGTTTGGTAGGATGTGAACAGGTGTCTCTGAAGAGAGATCACAGTGGGAATTGTTTATGGAATTTCCATACTTGGTTTCAACCCAATAGTACATATTTCATAACATTTCCACTAAATTAGCACATTCATTTTTGTGTTATCCGGGGGGCAGGGAAAAAAAACTAACCTTTTCTAATTCTTGAATATTAATCAGACATTTTTAGTTTCCTCTTCTTTTGGAATGAAACAAAGTTGCAAATATAAACTTTCACCCCGGAAGAATTAAAATCATTCAAGCATGAGGAAAATCAATGTCAAGTCAGGAGGAAGAGGAAATTAGAACACTCAATTATGAAAGTTGGAATTATCATCCTGTGAATAATGAGCTCCATCTTTTCACTGTCATCCCTCACAGATTTTGATCCCTACAGAGGCATGACCTTATGGATCAGGAAAAGGAGTAGAGCCTGGTGGACATAAGACTCCCAAAGGGAAGTCCTCTATATGGCGGATATGCCTTCTAAGAATCTCATAGTCATCACTGATACCTCTACAGTGGGTAAGTGACATATAGAAGCTCGACTCTAATGTTTGTGCCTCACATTCGTCTAATGACGTTATCCAAGGACGACTTGGAAAGAGT